TTTGCAAAACAGACTGTTTCAAATCTTTACTGGTGCTAGAGTTGTTGTTTTTTTTTGACTTAAAAGTATAAAAATTTGAAAAAAAAGGAAAACTACCTAAACCAATTAACTAATAATTGTCAAACGCTAGATATAATAATGTAGAAAAAAACTGCAAATTTTTTTTTCAAAAGACTAGTTTCATATACTACTCCTTCTATTTCTTATTTCTTCATTGGCATCTATAAACCTGTACACTGTTTTTTTTTTTTTTTTTTGTATGAGCTCGACTTGTGAAGTTAAGTAGACTTTTGATTCATATGAGCGACTCTCATACAATCTTTATTTGTGCAAAACTCTTGCGTAAATTTTACATTATACATTTTTGGCATGTCAAATCATTTAACACATTTCATTTAATTTCTCATTAAAATTTATGATTGAAGATGAAAGACCAATTTCTAAAGTGTCTCTACCAACAAAGTATCCTTTGGACATCTTAAACTAAGAAAAATTGTTTTAATTATATCTCATTCAGCAATTGGTAGTACTTTTTTTTTCTTTATACATGGCTGTACCATTTATTTTATCAGCTTGGCATTTACACCAACTGTCAGGGGTTTTTGAACACATTTAGTGGCGATAATCCAATGTAAGTGCATCTAAGCAGTGTATATATATATATATATATATATATATATATATATATATATATATATATATATATATATATATATATAGACATAGAAGTGTTTCTAAGTGATTAGTTAATATTTCTTTACTTAACTGGCATAAGATATTTTAATTATAAATAGACATATTTGTCATCAAAATCTACATAATGAATAGGCTTAAAGAACTAATTTCATTGTCACCTTCACTATTTTCCGTAAAACCTTGGACCTGTAAGCGAGAAATAAGGTTTTTATCAAGATTTTAAAACCATGGAATAGCACAACCAAGGTTTATGGAATACTAATGTAATGGCTATTTACTGCTGCTCTTTGAAGAAGTTATTAATCAGGAACGAAAATCAAGAAAAATATAGCTAATTTGTTGCTTGAAAGTACTTTATTTTGTAAATTAAAACTTACTGACTTTACTTTACGTTACTTTGTCTAACATATAGCTTTGTATAAGTTGTATATTTTAAGTCTTTCTTTGTCTTTGATGTTGTAAGAGAAGGGGGAATATTCTCAAGATCAGCCTCTGAATCTCACCTGAACACACCTGATCTCACCTGAACACACCTGGTGTAAACTAATTAAATATCATTTTTTGTAAAAACTAGACGTCCCATCAAAAAAGTTTTTTTTTTACCTTGGCATTATTATAATATATAAAATAAAGAATAAGTGTGTAATCAGCAAAAATAAAAAATTGAATTTGCAGAATAATATATTTTATTCAAATTATAAACATAAAGAATATTAAAGCAAAAAAAAAAATGGTTTCATGTTAGAAGCTAAATATTTAATATAATGCATGAACTCTCAAGCAAATATTTTTTTATCAAAACCATCAGGTTGTAAAGAATGTCTTTAAACGAACAGCGAATTCACAATTACAAAAAGTAGCATTTGTTTATAACAACTTTCACTTTAAGTGAAACCTTTTTGACGAAGTTAAAATATCTTAAATATTCTGACAAAAAGTAAAAGTAATACTAATAAATTTATAAGTTAAATTTGGTGTGCATTGTATAATTTTACAATTTACTTTTGGCGTACATATTTACTTTTGGTGTGTATTGTCGAGGCCATTGTTACGGCTTAGAGTTTATTAATAGTAATGAAGCAATTGCTTGGACTATTATAAATTGTACTGAGTACTACCTACGCTTTGAGTCAAGTTTTTTAACAAATCCAAAAATGACAAAAGTACCAAAAACTATAAAACACAAAAAACCATTGTCATTACCAAGTTCTCTAAATTTATCATTCACTAATATTTGTGGTCTTTGAGGTAACTTTTCTTTCTTTGAGTCTTATCTCTTGCAAAGTTCACCAGACCTACTTGCTCTTTCTGAGACTAATTTGAGTTCAGTTGTCTCATCTTGTGATCTTAGTGTTGATGGTTATCTTAAATTCGTAAAGACTTCAATAGTCATATGCATGGTTTGAGCATTTACATTCATAATGGGTGACCCATTTGTCGGGAAACTAGGTTTTAATCCACAGACTATTCTTTTATGCGCTTTCGTTTAGCACCACTTCACTCTATCGTCTTTTATTTTGTTTTATATCATTCTCTTTCATTTCAAGACTAAACTCTTTTTCAATGTTATTTCTAATAAATAGAGCCCTTTCTCTTTATCGCTTAGCCAATATCGTTGTTGTTGGTGACTTAACACATCATCACGCTGAATGGCTTGGTTCTAGTGTCAGTGACTCTCCCGGTGTTAAGGCCAACAACCTTTGTCTTTCTCAATTTCTAACACAAATAGTCAACTTTCCAACTCGCTTTCTTGACAACCCGAATCATTTACCTTCTCTACTCGACTTATGCCTTTTTTCTGATCCTAGTCAGAGGCCGGATTCTCCACTTTCACCCATTTTTTGTTTTAGATGTTTCAAATTATAGTTTGATTCCTCTAAAACTATTATCTCATTTTTCTTAATCATCAGAATCCTCCTAAACTCGTACGTCTTACAACTACCTTAAAGCTGACTGGGACTCTTTCCGTGATTTTCTTCGTGATGGTCCTTGGGTAGAAAACATTCGTCTTCTTGTCGGCAAATGTGCTTTTTATTTAACTTCTTGGATTCAGGCTAGTATGGAATCTTTTATTCTGTCTTAACAATTTCAAGTCAAGCCAAATTTTTTTCCATGGTTTTCTACTCTTACTGCAGCTTAAATTTCCAATCGTAACCATTACTTCCATATCTATCACCAAATTAATTCTCCAAAAAACAGACATCTGTTTACTATTGTTAGAAACCATTGTAAAAAGATTTGTAACCTCACCTAAAGATAAATTGATTGTAAAGAACTTTTCACCAATCTCATCTTTTGATTCCACTAATCCCGTCCTTAATCTCTTATAATGAATATCTTTATAGTCATCAATATAAATTTCGATTTTCTTGTTCCACTGCTGATTTGTTAAAAATAATAACTGATTTAAGCCTATTGCTCTCGACATTTCTAAAACCTTTGATAAAGTTTGGGATGCTGGTAACATCTTTAAGATTATCGAATTCTTTTTTACAAATTGTAATATAAAATTTGCCCTTGATGAACAGCACTCTTCTTCGTTTCCTGTAACTTCAGGAGTTCTTTAAGAGTCTATCCTGGGTCCTTTACTTTTTCTAATATACATTAACGATCTCCCAGAAATTCTGACATCCAAGGTGGCATTATTCTCTGAGATATTACCATTTATTCTTGTGTTGATAAGAAGCCAACACTCATTTGAGCTTGAAAAGGATCTTACTTATGCTACAGCATGGGGGCTCTTAGAATGGTGAAATTTAACTTAAATATAACCTAATTTTTTTTAGCTAATCGTTATTGCAGTAATCTAGATTTTTAAATTTTTATAAACGGTTATGTACTCGATGAGTCACTTAACCTCATAAGATTAACACTTCCAATTTTTCTAGGAAACCATATATCAAATTCATTGTAAATTTGACAAACCTATAATTGTTAATTATTTTTTAATGTTTGGAAAATTTTGAATTATTATACATACAACTTTTTTGAGGTTTTGTACTGTGACTGTAGTAAAAAAGTCACAGATTTTGTCTCTAAAATCGGTGCTGTTAAAAGCCAGACAAGCACGTACCTACCAGATAACGAAAAACTAATGGCAAAATCTAAATCTGAAAGACCATTATAATTTCGGAAAATATAAATTGATTATTGATGAGACTCATCGTACCTTAAAACTTTCTCATTCAACAATCAACGAAAACAATCACTTCTATATAAACAACAATAAAGAGCGTCCTTCTAGTGTTAAATATTATATAATATAATAATATATTATATAAATATTATATAATATATAATGACGAACCAAAACTATTAGTCTGGATTAATTTAAAAAGATTTTTAATAAAAGAAAAATATATTTAATATAATGATTGTATTAAATCTGTTCAAAATTACTTTAAAAAATAAAATATAATTTGTGTCAAAAAAGATAATCTATTAATGTTCCTGAATCAAGTCCAATTAAGGCTTTTTGGTCAACTATTAAAGGATTAATTTATAGCAGAAAATCTATAACAGCTCATTAGAAGAATAGAGTGAATTATATTGAGGAAAAAAATATAAAAAATTTTGAAAAGTTTTGGGCTAGTACCACATAATAAAAGTTGACTAAAGCATTATAGAGTTTTTCTGAATAAAAAAAAAAACTAGACTAAATTTTATAAAAAAGAAATGAAGTAATTGGAAATCAATAAACATTTTTTTATCAATTCTCCAACGGTCTTTTTTAAAACCTTTTGTATATAAAATAATATAAAATATTAATGTTATGGCCTATTCCTGAGTTTAGGCAAACACTCGTTATATTTTGTATAAAAAAACAAGAACAAAAAAAAAATAAAAAATAAAAAACAAGTAAATACACATTTAATATTTTTATTTCTGATAAAAAAAGTACTTTTTATTATACTTATTTTAAAGAGCGACCCAAATACCCTGATCGTTTAAAATGAGTGTTTCCTTTAATTTTTAAGTTAAACACAATAATTCTATTTATGCTTGTTACACTCAATCTATGTAATTGCTTTTGTCAACATATAGAAGTCAAGCTTCTCAATTGCTCCACCTCTGTATCCTTGTTTTTGCATAAACATGCTTTTCTAAAAAATTTTCTCCTTTCAGTCGTCTTTATTTCGATTTCATTTCACATTTATCGAAAAAAAAAAACGAAATAAATAAATTTATTCAGAATTTAGAAAATTTATTCAGAATCGGTAGGGCAGTACAAAATTTAAAAATTACAACATAAGATAACGCCGAAATTATGATTATGGATAGTGGTAAAAATAAATACTAACATGTTAACTTTATAATAACTTTTAATATGTAACATTATTCATTTGATTGTTTAATGCATTAGTTCTCAGCAGCTGTTGTTGCATATGCTGCTGCATCTGCTGTTGATGCTGCTGTTGCTGCATTTGCTGATGTTGAAAAGCATGTTGATAATGTTGCATTTGCTGCTGTTGATGCACTTGTTGTTGAGATGAAATTGACCCAGTTGATTGTTGGATATGCTGCGGCGTTTGTGGTTGCACTTGTTGAGAGTGTTGTAAGAGTGGTGGTGGTGGTTGCTGCTGCTGCTGCTGCTGTTGTTGTTGTTGTTGCTGCTGCTGCTGCTGCTGATTTATTGTAGAGTCAGCAAGTGTTGCCAAAAAGATTAAATTTCTGTGCAGTAGTTGTTGGTATTGAACACATTCGTGAGCATTCCCTTGATTTTGATATTCTATTATGGCATGAATAAGAGCTGTATTTTCGTCTAACATTTTTTGAACAGAAGCTTGTGTAATTGATTCCCTTCTATTGCCAGTTGAAGCAAAAGCTGCTGATGACATTTCTATATATTTTTCTATAAAATACGAAAGCAATATGATTTAAAACCAATACAACTTCATATAAAATAATATATATAGTTATATGTATATATGATGATTTATAAATTAACATGTATATATGACTGTGGGTGTTATTAATGAAAAAACAATTTTATTTATTTTTATTAACTGAATTTTTAGAGGAAATAAATATTTTAAAACAATATTGATTTTATAAATTATTTTTAATTTTATATTATGTTGGACAAACCTAGATGTGCATTAACAATATTTTCTTTCAGGAAATTTCAATAATGTCTAATTCAGTGTCCTTAAATTATTTACTACTTTTTTATTACTTTTTTGATTGGTACCATTGGAGCGGTATGTGTGCCCAAATTATTTTTTATTACATTTCTTTTTCGTAGTCTGCAAAGTATGCTTATACATAAACTTATACATAAATATATATATATATATATACATATATATATATATATATATATATATATATATATATATATATATATACATATATATACATATATATATATATATATATATATATATACATATATATATATATATATATATATATATATATATATATATATATATATATATATATATATATATATATATATATATATATATATATATATATATATATATATATATATATTAAAATGTCACACCAAGCTTTTTGATATAAAAACAAAGTGAAGTTTTTAGTATAGAAAATTAGGTGCAGTTTTTAGAACAGAAAAAGAACAAATTAAAAACTCAACTGGTCTATTTTAAAAACTACACTTTCCTATATTAATTTTTTAAATGCAGGCATGAAAATAAACACCATTTAAAATATCCTGACTCTTTTTTCACAAATAATTTTTTGAAAAATAATGTAGCTAATGTAAATTGCAACATAAATAAAGTTATTGTAAAATAATTATAACAACTCCCAACTTCCTTTAAATATTTTTATTTTATAACTTTTTCTATAATTTTTATAACATAATTTTTGATATTTAGACAATCATTTTGATGAACCTGCTGAAGGGGAAACAGACTGTAGATATACAAGAAAAAAAGATGTATATGTAAGTCTTACATATATATCTTTAAGTCTTACATATATATCTTGTATATCTTACAGTAAAAAAAAAATGCTCAATGTTTTTAAAAAACGTAGCATTAACAGATTAGTAAAAAAACACTTATCTAAGATTTATATATTAGTACGTATAAAGAACATATATATAATATTACTTTAATATTACTCTTTGGTCATACTACCAATGTAATAATTTCGCTGAAAAATATATAGTGATGTTTGTTGTTACAGAAAACTAATTAAATTTAAAATTTAAACGATCGTACCAGTGACATAGCGCGTTTACATTTTATTGGGGCTGCAGCCGTGGCGCAAAGGCGCTAGCGCCATAGCGCTAAAGAAAAATATTTTGTGACGTGATGGTTTACAAACACATAGCTGCCGTCTAGATTATTTTTAAGCGAATTTTTTTAATTCTGCCTTGCTTATTTTGGGATATTCCTCAAAAAACATTTCTGATTTCATTTACTAGGAAATCTAGTATAAAGATATGTTTTTTAGGAAAGAGCTTAAACTTTTTTTTTTCTTTTTTTTTTAAATAAAATCTGTTTTTAATCTGGTTTATTATTAAATTTATTTTCATTTTATTATTTATTTATTAAAAATTTAAATATAGAAAAAGCTAAATGGTAGCCAATGCTGTTTTTATATAATTTTGTTTAAAACTTCGTTAAAAACAAAAAAACAATGTTAGCACTAGGCCCCCACAGAGGTTTTGTGGTGCCTGGGTCAATTTTTGGTCGGTCGCTCAAATTTTGGCTTCTTGTGTATATTGAATTAAGCATATTGAGTTTTTTATCCTTGTGAAGTCAACTTTTTAGAAACTTAATTAAAAACAACACTTATTTCTGTATCGTTACTTATAAAAACATTCGATATTTGTACTTGGTTATAAATGATAAATCGATAGGGTCGACGACACAGGGGGGGGGGCAAGTGGCACCTGCCCCCACTTTTTTCTAAAGGACTTTTTTTTTTTTAGAAAATTATAGATATAGAAGACTTTTTTTAGAAATTGACGTTTGTGCCCCTCTACTTCTCTACATTTATAACCAAGTTCAAATATCGAATGTTGTTATAAGTAACGATACAGAAATAAGTGTTGTTTTTAATTAAATTTTCAAAAAGGAGACATCACGAGGATAAAAAACTAATTCAATATACACAACTAGGGCCACTACTTTTTCTCATTTATGTTAAGGATCTGCACAATGCCTCAAGTTTGAAGACCATAATTTTTGCTGATGATACAAATTTTTTTCTATCCGGTATATATCATTACAATATCAACATAGACTAAAATAAAATCAGCATAGCACTAATTAAAGTTTCAAATTGGTTTAAGTCAAATAAACTATCAATTAACTTGGAAAAAACTAAATAAACTTTATTTCATTCAAAATCCCAAAAAAAACTTTTACCAAATGATACGCCTCAAACATATATTTACAATGTTCAAATAAAAAAATCAAAAGTTATACATTTCCTTGGTGATTTCATTGATGAAAATCTAACTTGGAAAAACCATATCGAAATTTTGCGCGATAAAGTTTCAAAAAATATTGGAGTAATGTATAAAGCGAGAAATTTTATAAATAGACATTCATCAATTCAACTTTATCACTCGCTAATTCAATGCCATATAAACTATGCAAATATCGCACGGAATAGTACTAAAAAATTCAATTAGATCCTCTATATCGGCAACAGAAGCATATAGCACGTTTAATAAACTTTAAAGATCGTTATACTCATGCCAGACCTATTTTATTGGAAATGAATGATCTTAATATATACCAGCAAAATATTTTTAATGTTCTTTTATTTATGTACAAATGTAAGATAAACCTAACCCCTATATCCTTTCAAAATTTATATGCAATAAAACAAAAAAAACAAATATGACCTAAGAAATGATAATCTTATTTATCAACATTATTCTCATACAAGTTTTGGAAGATCTCTTTTAACATATCGCGGAGCTCTTCTGTGGAACAAAATAGTTTTGAAAAATTTTGATTTTTCCCAAAGTTGGAGTTTTCTTACTTTTAAAATTAAGTTGAAAAAAGTTATCTTGTCAATTGATAATATCTTTGAGTTCTTATGAGTTACTACCTTTTAAAAAAGTGTGTGGTTCCTGAATATATTGTTTTATTTTGAAATATTTAGTTTTATATATATTCCTTATGTTGTTAAACGTTATTTTATATTTTGAAATATCTGGTTAAGTTTCAAATTTGATTTGAAATTTAAATTTTATTTGAAATTTTATATGAAATATCTGGTTAAATTTGCGAAAATCTGGTTAAAATTGCGAAAGAAAACTTGCGAAACAAATCATTTCGTAAGAATACTTACGAAATAAAAAAGAAAAAAGTTTTAAAAACATTTAAACATATAAAAACATATCTTCTTATAAATCAATTCAGTATCCTTTTTAAATCAATATGGCATTGACTCTTCAAGAAATAAAGAAAATGTTTAAAGAAATGTTTGGTGAGTTTAAAAAAGAAACCGAAGCTATGTTTAAAAAACACAAACAAACTGTTCTAGACACAATAAGTGGAAATCTGAAAATTTTAAACGAAAGATTGGACAAGCTTGAGACCAATGCTAATGAAAATGTAATAAAAATTGAAAAAATTGAAAAAGAAATTGAAGAAATAAGCGATAGCATAAACTTTAACGAAAGCATTATTGATAAAAAAATCAAATACAACTAGAAAAAAGTAAACTAATTCACACTCTTAAAAAGAACTCTTTTAAACATATATAAAACAATCATGGCTGCATTAAATAATTTTGAATCTCTCGCGTTTAATTTTTTCGAAAAAGAATTTTTTTCCCAGGACAAAAACTCAGACCCCGACAATAATTTTTATTGTGAGACTTTTTCAGATTGTTCGTATATTTTTCCAAGCGAGCTAGAAGAGTTTCTTTTTAAGAATGTTATTGACAAAAATTCGAATCAAATTAGAATTCTCCACCTCAATATAAGAAGTCTAAATAGTAACTTTGAAAAGCTTTTAAATCTAATAGAAGAAAAGAAAATTTTTTTAATATAATATGCTTAACAGAAACGTGGATTACATCAGAAGATCTAAATAGTCATTTTCCAATTCCGCATTTTAATATTATTTCTTTGGAGAGACAAATAAATAAACGAGGTGGTGGAGTACTAATTTATGCGCACAAAACACTTAGGCTTGTTTTTAGAGGCGATTTGAGCATTTCTGATAGCCACAAAGAAGTCTCAACAATTGAAATTGAAAGCAACCAAACAAAAAACTTATTAATTAGCTGTTGTTATCGGCCACCTGCTGGCGTGAGTGAAAACCTAAGCATGTTTTTGCATAACGTCATTAAAAAAGGCGGTATGGAAAAGAAAAAAAATATTTTGCTTGGGGATTTTAATATGAATTGCTTTCTTTATAACAACGACTATAAAGTAAAAAGTTTTTATGACACATTTTTTGAAATAGGATCAATCCCCCTCATTAATCGCCCTACCAGAGTAACTATAAACTCAGCGACTTTAATTGATAATATTATTTCAACTGATATTTTTAATAAGGGTATAAAAAAAGGTATATTAAAAACTGATATAACAGACCATTTTCCCATTTTTGTAACAATTGATACATATACAGCAAAAAACATTGACAACAAAAAAGTATTGAAGAAACGTATCATTAATCAAAATAACCTTAATTTATTCAAAGACCAACTATCCTTACTCCATTGGAATAATATTAACATAAACAATAATGCAAACGACATATATGAAACTTTCTTCAAAACTTTCTATTCTGTATACGACGCTAACTTTCCCGTAGTTGAAATAATAGCAAAACCTAAGAGTTTGAATTCTCCTTGGATTACGAAGGGGTTTAAAAAATCTTCCAAAATCAAACAGAAGTTATATATAAATTTTCTAAAAACAAAAACAACTGCAAACGAAAAAATTTACAAAAACTATAAATATTTATTTTAGAAAATTCGTAAAAATTTAAAAAAAAATTATTACTCGGAATTACTTAACAAATTTAAATATAACACCAAGCGCATTTGGGAGATAATGAAGAAAATTATAGGAAAACAAAAATCATGCTTTGGTTTTCTGCCACAAATGATTAAAATTGAAAACACTAGCATATTTGAACCAAACGCTATATCACATGAATTTAATAAATTTTTTACTGAAATAGGTCCTAAACTATCAAATAAGATTCCTATCACAAGAACTTTGTTTAGTGACTTTTTATTATCCTTGGAGAAGTGCATATGCTCTGATGAGCTATCCTCTGATTTATCAATTGAAGAACTTGAAAAGGCGCTCAAATCTATTAAAAAAAAAAAATCATGTGGACCAGACGAAATAGATGGAAATGTGATAATAGATTGCTTTAAGCAACTAAAAGATGTTCTTTTACTTGCTTAAAGCAAAGTTACACCTATTATAAAGATGGTCACCACCTATATTCAATGGTCACCACCTATATTCATAGTTCACCACCTATATTCAAAGTTACACCTATTTATAAAGATGGTGACCAATCCCAAATAACTAATTATCGCCCCATCTCTGTGCTCTCTGTATTTTCAAAAATCCTAGAAAGAATTATGTACAACAGAATATATAAACACTTTGACAAAAATAACCTACTCTATGATAATCAATTTGGTTTTAGAAAGGATAGCTCAACAGAGCATGCAAATATCCAACTTGTAAATGAAATTTCAAAATCGTTTGAACAATCAAAATATACATTAGGTGTTTTTATCGACCTATCGAAGGCCTTCGATACGGTTGACCATCACATCCTACTCAAAAAACTGAAATATTATGGAGTAAATAACCAAGCGTTAAGGTTGTTCAGAAGTTACTTAGCAAATAGAAAACAATTTGTTTATCTGGTTCAAATCCAACAAATTAACTTTAAATACTGACAAAACTAAATGGACTCTTTTTCATTCGAATAGGAAAAAAAAAATTTTTACCCTTAAACTTGCCTCCAATCTTTATTGATGAAATTGAAATAAAAAGAGACTCCGTTATTAAATTCTGGGGTGTTTATCTCGATGAGAACATTAATTGGAATCAACATATTAACTTTATATGCACTAAAGTCTCTAAAAACGTTGGAGTTTTGTACAAAGCTCGAACTTATCTCAATAAGAAATACTTAAGGCAACTTTATTTCTCATTTATTCACTGCTACATAAAGTACGCTAATATTGCCTGGGGAAATACTGAAAAAAGTAAAT